AAGATCGCTGGTGTAAACTGACCTAATTCTTGTTTTATGCTCTTTATATATTGTTTTATATCATTTGAACTGTCATCTTTTGTTTTCATACTGATTTTCCACACATTTAAATCTCTATCAAATTCAATTGAATCAATTTCAAAAACAGCACCAATACTAAACAAAACTTCTTGTTCATCTACTATACGGCTAAACTTTTCAATATCAGCAAATATTACTGTTTTTAGAGATGTATCAGCTTTTATCTGAAATAAAATAGGTTTATAATGTTCATTATCAACTGTACCAGCAATAAACTGTCGAGCGATATCCAAATTACGTGATGTCGAAAAGAAACTATTAGTTGATATAAGACGAATTATCTTAAGTTTTTCAAATTCTTCTGTTGATATTATCTGTCCACGATATAGAGTTACAGTTGAACTGTCGCTCCCTTCCATCATTCTCTGTTGTTCGATTTCCAACTGAGCACATAAGTCAGTTATATAAAAACGAAATAAATGCAACAGATGTATGTCTTCTGTTCTCAAAGCTTTATTTAACAAACGATAAATAAAACTATCAGCTGTAAACCATTCAATTGCTTTATTACTGGAGCTTTATCATCTCTCCGGAAGAATTTTGTGTTTCATTACAAGAACTACATCTTTTTTGTTGCGGCACTCGCGAGAAGTACCGTCCGTTTGCTCAAGAACTCTTTTTGTCTTTTCCAGAACTTTTTTCCTCTAGAAGTTGGTGTTTCTTCATGAGAACTACATCCTTTTTGATCAAGAGCTTCGTGTTTCTCCAAAAGACAAAACTTGAATGTCTCAGGAACGCAACAACCGTATGACCTATAGTTTTCGCCAAAATTCGTGAAACTGTTTGCTGTATAGTAGCCCTTACTATGGAAGAAATTTGAGATGGTCGCTTGAAAAGTTAGGTCGTGGCTTATCTTTAATGGCTCATAAGTAAAAATACAATAACAGCTTCATATAGACTTATTGTTTTGGTTATTCTTAAAATTCGAAATATTTTGCCATATACAAGTTATAAAGTTTAAGAATATCAAACGTAACTTTGTTAAACAATCTTCAATTCTTTCTTTAACTTTAACAGAACAAAAATCGTATGAATACAATAATATCTCTACGGCATGGCCCACCTATCGATGAAATCCAAATGATTCTTTCTTTTATGTCTAAAACTATTGGGACAAATTGATCAACTAACACCAGAGAAAACTTCCGTTTAGAAACTTCTTTTCTAACAAACAGTTTTGATCACAAGCCTCTGCCTCCCTTTTCAGAGAGCGTGATTAACTAAATAATAATACTCCTCTATAGCAAACGAGATCTTGTCACTTTTTAACCCAATATATAATTGTATGGATTTTAAATGACCATGTAATCGAATTAAGCCTAAACAGCTCATTAGGATTTTGGTTCTGAATGCTGATAATTTCATTTCCACTCATTAAAAGTTTTCTTCAATTACTTTCATTTTCTACTCCATATTAAGAAACATGCAGTAAACTTAGTCTTGCATATTTTTCAAGATAAAACAGGCAGAATCGTGTTTTTCTTTTTAAAAACACAAAACTCAACTTTCGCGGATTGATTGTGACAGAAACTAGACAAAATGTAAAAGCCGTATTTTAAAATGAATACAATCTGAAAAGTCATTCAATATATTTTGATCAGAACAAAGAGAGCAAAATCTCACTGGAAAACACGAACTTTCAAAAATATATTGTAGCCGCTTAATAAATGGTTATGATATAGGTTTAAGTGTATTAAGATGCGGCGTAGTTTCAGTATAACACAAAGATTTCTGCGATGATGATGGCGGTGAATAAATGCTGTGTTACTGTTATAATTTTGTTGTTGCTGCTCAGATTGAAATTATTCCATGTTTATTGAACTTGTTACTAAGAAAAAAATAACAAACTAGCATCTGTTGTTACTAATTAATAATAACAAGTAACAAATTCTTGTTACTTTACTTGGTATACATCGAGTAATAACTAAAGAGCCACTCCTAGTTGATGCAGCTCGCGTTTGCGACAACTAGTTCGAGGTCGAATTTATGATTCTATACAGTGAACGAGCATAAGTTGATTTTCATTTAATAATGACATTTTTCTCTGTAGCAGATGAATTCGCAAAAGAAAAATTCCTGAGTCAAAACAACACTTCGCCGGTTTGTAGTCCCTTCCTTCCTCAGAAATGACAAGAGCGACAAACACGACGCTTTGGAACATAGACTAGAGACCACACGGAATAAAATGGCTCACATAAAAGACATTCAAAATGCTATATTGCTCTACTGTAATATAGGTACGGTAATAATAAGTCACCATTTTGTTCAAATTCGACTAATTGGCTTCTGACTGTTAAACGATCATCCAAAGCCATCGATGGAAATGTTACCGGATCCAAATAGGCAGCAATCTGAAAGAAACAGAATAAATATAAACGAAGACAAAGCGTTGTGTAAAAGAAGAACACAGTGCCAATACTTACCAACATGCAAATCTCTTCATTTTCATCCATTCTATCTTCGAAATAATGTAAAAACTTTTTAAAAATTTGAGCTTTCAATTGACTGATGCTTGTGTTTGTTGTTTTTACTTCGAGAGATTTTTTTAAAATGATAATCACTACGTATTTTAATGATTGCGTTGGGTACGTTGAACCAGATAATAATTTCGAACCTTCTTGAAATGGTTTTGATATACTAGTTACTATACCCAAAATTTGAAAATCGTTAGTCGTCAATGACAGATGATCAACCGGTAATGATTCTGCTTTTTTGTGGAAATCGTATAAAACATTTTTGAAAATAAAATAACACGACTCAACATGAAATATGTCGAATTTCATCTTATTCTCATGTCCAGAATCAGATTGACCATCTAAAAAATTATGATCAAGTTTGCCTTTTATTTAGACCTGCAGCTTGTTAAAACTCACAATTTGGTTTTCTTTTGCTAATGAATTAATCGTGTCGAACATGATGCTTGAATGACGGATTTTTCTTATGAGCTGTCTTGTTTTATTAAGTAACGATGATACTTGATTTATCAACTCTCTTGACTGGGCTGAATCATCGGATTCTTGACTATCGTCATCTTCATCATCATCTTCATCAATAGTTTCGACATCTGAACTGTCGTTATCATCTACTTGGTCAACCGATACATCAGCATTATCATCTGTGTCTGGATTATCATTATTATTATTATAGCGATAATCGTTCAAATCCGAATCAATATCTTCATTATTTGTAGAATCTTCATCATCTGGTTCGTATATCAGTTCACTAGTGGAGAAAAACGAGGAAATTTGTTTAGGCTAGAAATAAAGTTATTCTTTAACCCTCCCATGAAACGTAATGATTCTATTTTACGCTCCTCCTCAGTGGAAAAAGTTCTAGGTATTTGCCTATTAATTAGCACGTTTATTCCTCACATTTTTTCAGTTCATTGTAGGTCTATTTACTCATCCATTTGATTTTGCTCGATTGTTTTTTTGGTCATCTTTTTCGTTGAAGGTTTTCCCCACAAAAATAAATCCGATTTCAATGTTAAATTGAATAAATGAGCCACACATGTGGTTCTTGTTCCAAAACCATACTGCGTCGCCAGTTTGATATCTGACCCACTATCGGTTATGATTGCAACTATTGTGTGTTTGATATCAAACCAATTTATCACTCGTTCCAAATGTTTTTTCACTCTAGGTGCAAAATGTCGACCATAAAATCGACGAAAACTTAACACTTTTGACACGGACACATAACGATCAGTTGTATAGTGGACGGTGATGACGAGAAAACTGTGATATTTTCCGCTTCTCCATGCGTCAGCTGTCAATGAAATGAACGGCTGCCTTGATAAATCTTGTTTGAACTGTGCACATTTTGATTTGTACATAGTTAATATTTTTGAACGAACTTGATGAGCCGACGGACCATAATAACCTATGGATTCGTAAAAAGGTTTACATCAAATGCACTTTGATAGTGTTAACATACCAGGAGCAATAGTTTGTAAAAATGATTGCATGCCGTTTTTTTTAAAATCACAATACGCTCGTCCGTTAACGATAATTGCTACTACTGCTGCATCATGATATTCTTTTGTTCTTGGATGACTCATTAGTACTCGTGATTTGTATGATTCGTACAACAATGCATGTTTTCCATGTATATGGCTCAAATGGCGGCGTGTATTGATTGTTGAACCAAGACCTTCTCGGATCATCTGGAAACAAATCAGTACGTTAATGAATGCACAGCGATTCCTAAAACTTTACGTACTTTGTTTTATATACACAAATTGCATTTTATCGTTCGACTATCAATGCGTGTTGTATATTCAAAAAACTGGAGAATTTTTTTTTTTGATATCTTTGAATTTATTATAAATTATAAAATAAATTATAAATTGTCTATATAGAATTATACGTTAACTTGTATTGATTTGGGATTAGACTAGTCGAAATTAGAAATGCCTTTAGAAAAAATATAACTTATATGAAATATATTATACGCAGGCATAATAACGAAACGGTTTTGAAGTCCTCGAAACGTTTTTGGGTTTTGTTATTGTTTAAGTTGTTTTTGAATTTTTCCACATTTATAATTTGTTGAAGAAATAGGAGTATAAAAAGGAACTTTTTGTGAGCTACTTTGTAG